TAAAAAAACTTTTAAGACTACTCCTACGTTTAGATATTTTATAGTTTCTTATAGATTTAATTAAAAATATTTAATATATAAGAAATTAAAATTTAGTTTATATCGAGATACATATAAGTAATGATGAGATAAGATGATCACTATATCATCTTAGTCGATAAGCAAAATTAATTATTATAAACTTAATTAAAAATATATAAAAATTTTAAGCATTCATTAGGGTAATTCTTTATAAAAAATTTAAAATTTAATTGAAACTATATAATTCTTTTTATGAAAGATATAAGAATAAGAGAAGAGATTTCCAATTATTTTTATGGCTGCCTAGGTTGACAATATATGGATCATAAGAGGATATGTTTGAAATACTAATAATATAAGTCACTCTATGTGACATTCCTTTTTCTTTCTTTTTTTTATTGGCTTGCAAAGCCAACATTACATATTCCAAAACTGTCGCGATCTTGTACATTAAGAAGAAACAATCAATGGTTATTAGATGTTTATCAATATTATGATTCTCATTTCTACATCACTTTCTATGTTAATTATTGTTCTAAATATCATTGTTTCTACAATTATTTTTTAAAATATTATTTATATTTTAAAGTTATATCTTAAACATGATTAGTAGTGTGCCCGAGAAAAAAAAATTAAATGATACGTTGACCAATTTCTTTTCCCGTCATATTCTTGTATTTTGTCATCACATCTTAACATGTGTGAGGGAGATATTCTCCTTATTTTTTATTTCTATTTTTTATAACTGAATTTATTGTATTTGTAATTACTAACTCGTGCAATTTGCTGATAAAAAAAACAAATTGGTGTGATTTTTTAGAGTTTGACGTGAAATATTGCAAGATTTGAAATTATAAGTAAAGGGTAGTTTATATAGATGATTATCTATAGATCACAAGATATTTGTAATCTAGAATTTTTTTTTTAATTATAGATAATTTCTTAAAATCAATTTTCCACAGCCCTTCAGAAATTGGTGTGAACCAACTGCTACATACCAACCACCATACTCCAATAATTTCTCCATGTTGATTTCACACGAGAATGTGATTGAGAATCCTACCCCACCTCGATATTTAACATCTAATAAATTAAAAACATATTTTATTAACTTGTAATTCACATATTAAAATAAAACATTTCATCTTATTATTATTTTTATTTAATTATTTGAATTAGTGAGATGTACATTATATCTTAAGCTATATTAACACTCCAAAAACCATGAATCATTTGTCATCACATTAAAATTTATTAAAAAATAAAAAATAAAAAAAATACAAAAAAAAAAGGAGAATCACACCATGATAAAAATTACACTTCAAGAAACATGGACAAGTATACATATTATGTAAAAAATATATAAATAAATACATGAAGACAAAACACTAAATCACTTTTATTGTTTTTATGAATCAAAGTTAAATTAGTTAACTATGATTTCTTTCACGAAAAATATGAAAAACTTTGAACTGTATATGTTTAATGCAAGCAGTGACATCTCACTCTAAGACTCCAAAGAACCAATCGATAATGCAAAAAATTACAACACACTAAAGAAGAATCACTCTTCAACCAAAACCTGTGAAAATTCTCCCTCCAAGCAAGCTTCAATGCATAAATGACCCCACAAATTTGACATAAATAGAAGTTTAAAAAAAGCTGAAAAACTACTCACATATTTATGTTGACTTTCTTTAAAAATTCTAGCACATGTTAGGACAACTTCTAGTTTTACAATCAATATTTACCTTAAGCTAATGACAAATGGAACTTGCCACCCTTATCTTCCATAGTTTGTGTTAAACAATAAATTTTAAGCCTAACTCAACCCTACAAAACTGGCTTATAAGGTGAGATTTACATCCACTTATATACTCTAAAATGGTATCATTAGTCGAAATGAGACTTCCACCATCTCTCACGCCGAGGTATATACATCCTTACATAGAACTAAACATACAATATGTATAACAAACAACAAATTTTGTTAGGATTAACTTAAACAATCACTAATTAGAGATGACAAAAATACATGTGTTTGCGGGTATCTACAGATAAAATCTACGACAAATAGTTAGTATTCTCGAATATTTATTACTCACAAGTAACGGGCAAGATATATATTAATACCCGTTTATAAGCAGATTGGGTGTATATTTGTATTATCCGTTACTTGCAAGTATTTTTTACCCACAAAAAAAATTAAAATTAAAATTAAAATTAAAATTATATTTTATTATGTTAAATTTAATTAAAATTAATTTATATTTTCTTAGATTAAATTTCATTAAAATTAAATGTTATTTTATATTATATTATATATATATATATATATATATTGTAATATTATTTTAAAAATTTATTAAATATCTTGTTTTTTCAATATCCACGGGTATCCTTGAGCACCCACAAGTTTTAAAATATTCACAGATATTTTTTAAATAGGTATCTGCACACGTAACAAACGATAATGGGTGAATGTTTTGTTGCGGGTTAAGCACTGTCCATGTCCAATCCGACCCGTTGTCATCCTTAGTTCAAGTATTATGTTAAAAATTGGACTTTAAATTTAATTTAATCTCACAAAATTGGCTTATAAAGTCAAGTTGCACCCAACATAATATCGAAAGAAAGATTTAATATTATTACCACAAAAAAATACATAAAACCCAAAACCACCATTTTTTAAAATCTATTAATCAATAAGTGAACAATCATATAACAACTTAAAAAAAAATCAAAGTTTTAACTATTTACATCTCATTTAACCAAAGTCAAAATTTTCCAATTCACACGTATTCAATATCATTTTAAAACCGTATCATTAGTTAAAAATTACTTCTTATCTATAAATAAATACGCATAACTTCTTAATCTTTTGTTTTGAAACCTCTTAATTTTGTTATAATTCTTTTTAGGTTAAATATGTTTTTAGTCCCTAAACTATTGGCCGTTTTTGGTTTTCAAAGTAAGGTACAATTTGGTCCTCATTCTTTTCGAAACGTTCGTTTTAATCCTCGGAATTTTGGTTTTAGTCCTCATTTTGTTGCTAAATGAGGATCAAATTTCTAAACGGTGTTAGTTTTCGAGGACTAAAACGAACGTTTTTGAAAAGAATGAGGACCAAATTGTACCTTACTTTGAAAGAGGGATGAAAATAAAAAACGATCAATAATTTAGGGACTAAAAACATATTTAACCCATTCTTTTTTATCAGTTATTGCAATTTATCCTTAAAGTCAATTCATTCTCTCTCTTCGTAGGTGTCATATCCTTATAATAATAAATAGCATGCACACTATACATGAAGACACAAAATAATGTATATGGTTAAGTGTGCCTATAATGATAACGATACGTACATTTCGAAAAAAATAAAATAAGAATATGAAAAAGGAAAAAGAAAGGGTAGCCCTAGTTGACACGACAATGAAAAGTCATAATTTTGACCTGGGTCAAGGATTATCATGGACATACAATGAACAAGTTTTTCAGGAAAAAAAATAGAAGATAAAAATTATAAAAAAGTAGTAACTTTTGGTTAATTTAAATAATTAATATATAAAAAATTAAACAAAATTTGTAAATTAATTTTTCAAGAGTTAATTTTATACTTAATTTTTTTTTGGAAAGGAACTCGTGTGGAGATCTTGCGTATTTAATGTGCATTTTGTCTGCATTTAGTTAACAGCGACCACTCCAAACGCGTGGCAATGAAAGGAGTAATCGTTGTTTGATTGAAGTTTACTCCTGTACTGATGTAAGGGATGATGCTGTAATATAACAAAAATAATATATTGTTTTTATTATCAAAACTATTTTCCTCAACATATTATTATATGTCGCATATCTTATGAAGGTGTAAATATATGACTTAACGAATCAAATGAATCTAAGCATAATTAATAAAATCAAGGAAATATAACACTCATATAAATATATTAGCCAGTAAGTTTAATGTTATAAAATATAACACTCATATAAATATTAGCACTCATGTAAACCAACACTCATATATGCATAAATATAAATATTTTAGTGTTATAAATATTAGCCTCTTAAACTTATATTACATCGTGAGACACTAAGTTTGACTTACATAATATATACAAAATTATTCTTTCGAAATATAAATAATAAAAATTACATTAAAAATAAGAAGGTGACGATTAATCTAATTATATTCTAGTATATAAACATAGACTCGAAGGTAGTTTAGAGATATTATAAAACTAACTCAAAAGGAAAAAAAAATAAGTTCTTCATATTATCTTAAAAAACAGGTAATTTTGATACAACATAATCCACTTGAAGTTTATTTGATCTCCACGGTTGACTTGTTGATTATCTATTAAGGAATAACACTATCTGTTTACCATATTATATATATATATATATATATATTAATTTCTTAATCCTTATTATGTGTGTTTTTTCACGTTCCATTACAACCTTAGTCAAGTATTATTATTTTTTTCATGGTTTCACTGTTAATTTTGACTTGTTAAAAAGCAAAGTAATTGGAAGTTTCCCTCGTACAATGATTTGGAGGTGGGACTTGGGGGAGTGGTATTCACTAGTTTCTATTCACCACCACATTTTTCAGTTGAAAATTTAGAACTTCAACATCCCAATCTAAACAGAGTATTATTAAATTCATGGTGCTGCTAATCTACCTGCAAATGTGTAGTTCATTAAGCTAATGAAGTGAGATTATGGTACGGTACCCACTATTACACAAGACACAGACACTATGGTTCTAAATTCACGTGGAACAAAAAACGAACGTGGTGGTGGTCCACGATTGTTTCCTCCAGGGACTGTCTCGACGCGTAGATGCAAACCATCACTGCTCTCGTCACAAATGTCCATGTGTACAACAGCATGCACTTTCTAAGCCCCACACGCGCCTTTGAAGTCTTACATCACAGTGAGTCAAACATCTTCACTCGCTTCTGCACATATATAAAGAGCCGCAAACAAACTCCACCCTCAGAAAACGCATACGACACAGATTCTCAGCACAAGCCAAAGACAAAGCTTCCATTTCTAAAATCGCAAAAAAAAAAAAAAGAATCATCAGAGTAAAACATATTTGGTTACTTATTTAAAGAGTGACTGTAAGGAATGGTGAAGCCTGGTAGCGTGGAAAAAACTACTGAGGAGCGAACCAATACGTCGTACAGGGGAGTACGGAAGAGGAAGTGGGGCAAGTACGTGTCGGAAATTAGGCTTCCCAACAGTCGCCAAAGGATTTGGTTGGGTTCCTACGACAGCGCCGAGAAGGCGGCGCGCGCTTTCGACGCGGCCATGTTCTGCTTACGTGGCAGCGGCGCCAAATTTAACTTCCCGAATGACCCGCCCAACATCGCCGGGGGGAGGACCATGACCCCCCCTCAGATTCAGATAGCTGCGGCTAGTTTCGCCAATTCGGAGCCCCAAAAAGAGTGTTCCGGTCAGCAACACGTGGAGTCTTTAGCTTCGGACGAGGAAACGGCGTCGTTCAGGTTGGAGTCGTCGTCTCCTCCTCTCTCCGACGTGTCGGTTCAGAACGACCCCATATTCCAAAACGGGTCATTTCGCGACCCGTTTTCGGATCTCGGTTCGGGCAGTTTCGCCCCCGAGTTCTCCGATTTTCCGAGTTTCGACGATTTCAGCCGGGATTTCTTCTTGCCGGGGCTTCCTAGTTTCGATGACGGAGAAGAGAACGTGGACGGGATGATAGTCCAGGACCCGTTCTTGTGGAACTTCTAAGAGGGTCAGGGTTTGGATAATTTTATTATATCCAATTCCGGGACCAGAATCGGGTTTGGGTTGGTCAATTTTTGTTAGGCCAAGCCCTGTGTGTTGGTAGTTACTGATGAAATTTATTTACCAAGTAGTCAAGGTTTCGAATTTTTTAGATGGGAACATAATTCATTTAATTGTCACGAATTAATTGTAAAGTTGTCTGCTGATAATGTAACTTCTGGGGCATATATTGAATTTTTAAGGATGATATCTTTTGTCTAGATACAATCACTTGCGTGTATGATCAGGTGGTAGGGGACCCATTATATTAATTATGAGTAATTAGGAATGTTTTTATCGTAACGTGGAGGGTTGCTACTCCAATTATGAAAATGAAGAATTTTTTTTTGAGATTTGATTTATTAGAGGATAAATTCTAATGATAATAAGTTAATAGTAACATAAAACAATAAGTGAAAATAATTAAATAAAGCATTTATTCATAATGTTTTGAGTAACTGTTAAGTACTAGATGGAGGGAAATGGAGTTTTCTGTCATAAGCATTGGAAGAGAATAAGTAGAGCTAAGAGGGAACATGAGACGTTATGAAGAAAGATAAAGAAAACTCAAAAATTGTGTACTGGCAGAGTTTGGAAAATTATTAAACAAATAAAAATATATATAGATGTGACGCGCTATAAAAGAAAAGGGATAAAACGTTTTGTATTGAGGCACACTCCGCGGGGACTTTTAAAAAGCAGATTGTTCTTGAAAAAGTGAGAATTACGTATAAAAGAAATTATTTCTTTTTAATAACTTAAAACAAAAATTCTTTAATTGGACTCACCACTTTTAGTTCACTTTTTCAGGAAAATCTACATGGCATTGTTTTCCCTATTTGTTGATTGTGAGAGGAGAGGGAGTAACGTACATATCCACCCAAGTGTATATATATATGAATAAAACATGATAAACATGGCATTAGGGACTATCGTGCCGTCACTCGTTTGTTGAAATAGAGAATTGAAACAAGATATAGAGGTACTTTTCTTTTTCTCATTTCATGAGTTTATTTTAAAATAAAAGACTTTGTTAAAATTTCAGGAAATATCATTAATGTATTATTCACTGAAAACTTCAGTTACGAATGAAAACAGAAAAATATCCCTTATTTAACTACATACATAAGCAACCAAACTTATCCAAGACCACTCTCAATAAAATTGAAAAACTGACTCATAAAACATAACAATAAATCCCAAATAAATATAGGACTTGACTTATTCAAAATAGAGAATACATAAATAAACGGTAACATTTACAAAAAAAAAAAACATTAATCTGCTTTTTTTTAAGAATTGATGTTAATTTTTTATATGGTTGAACTCAAGTTTCATTAATGTTTTTTTTAATGAATTTCTCTTTTTATAGATTCAACGGTAATATTATATCCAATAATTAAGGTTGGAGATTGATTACAAGTGTGGATCATGTGTTGAAAGGACTTCCGGTCTCGTTAAAATATAACAACGATGCAAAATAGATATTTGTAGTTGAGAATGATTCCACTGAATACAAGTGTGGATCTTGTATCAAAAAGACTATTTGTTTGGTTAAAGATAATAGTGGTACAAAAGAGATATTCAGTTATTGGAAATGTTTGGGAGTCTACCAAAGTAAAAGGGACTTACCCTTAAGGAAAAATATTAGAAATCAAAATGTGAGTCCAAGTAATGAGAAAGTAGAACACCACATAAAAAAGATCTATAAACTATTGTCTCAAGGTTTTATATTGAGAGATATATTAGTTAAAAGTGATGGACAGACTCAAGTCCCATTGATCTCTTTTATAAAGTCAACACACTTATTATTTTTATTCTCGAAAGATTCACTATTTGTATTTACTATTTCTTTCTTCACAAATAGTTGGAGGAAGTAGATCCTTCTAGTGTGGATCCATTTTATTTTATCTAGTACAAGTGTTGGTTCACATGCAAATAAACTTACAAATATGAAAAAAAGAATTGAAGATTATTTAACATTTTCATCTAGAATTTAAGTTTTTTTTAAAAAAAAATTGTTGAGATTAAAATGAATAACTAATTTTTTATTTAGTACGAATGAATAAATATATATATATATATATATATATATATATATATTTAAATAATATATAACAATAATAATTAGAAAAAATAATGAATAATCAGTTGAATGTTTAGTTTTATTTAATTTTATCATAATTCTATAATGTATGAATTGCTTAATTATTTTAAACTATATTTTATTGTGTGAATTTTAAGAACTTCTTGTCAATGTAGAAAAAATATATATTTATTTGTGCTGAAATAGTTTAAAATAAATAAATATCACGAATAAATATTTTCTTATGACATTTATTTTGTAAATTTTTGTGACGAGAACACCTCGTTTCTTAAATAAATGGTTATAAAATTATGTTAATAATATAATGTTGTAATGTCAAATGTTCTTTACTAAAAATTATATGTGACAAAATTCTTCATAAAATGTAATTTTTTTCTTTGTCAAAGAGAGAGTTCTTCACTTAAGACAAATACATTGTCACTATAAACCAAAATTTATAAGAGTAAATTTGAAAATACTACAAGAGAAAACATCTTTGACAAAAAGTTTTTAAGTTATTCTCTCTTAAATGGGTGTAAACTTTTGCTTAAATGACATTATGTCTATTGAAAACATAAAACATCAATTATGTCTATTGAAAATATAAAACATCAATTAAGCAAACAAGATATATTATCATACACTCATTCAAATATTTATTAAACATTTATGTATAAAAAATAAACCAAAAAAAAATCATGCTATTGTCAAGAATTTAAAATTAAAATAACTTCTTCCTTTTCTTCAATAAACGAAAAATTGTACTTGAATAACTTTCAAAATAAAACGTAAAGTAAAGTGTTTTAATAATCTAAGAAATGGAGAAGTATGAAAACTAAACAAATATGTACATATTTATATTTTTCAGTATACAATTTAAAAAATTAGATATTACACTTAAGATTGAAAAGGAATAATTCTTGAGGACTTAATTGATCCCTCTCACAATCTTCTATTTATAAGAATAAATTGATACACATGTACATGATAAATAGGGTAACCCTAGACACAATATAATCATGATAAATAAGGTAATCCTAAACACAATATAATCATGATAAATAGGGTAACCCTTGACACACTATAATGATGATAAAATAGGATAAATATCCTAACAATTACTAACATTTATAACCGTAAAATATGAATATTTTCTATTAACATAGGAACAAATTCAAATACTATCCACAGATACCTATTTATTTATCATCATTTGTTTGTTTATTTTAATTTACTAATCTGAGTTTACTAATCATAGAACTTAATTTTTCTCATTCAAATAATTGTCTTCTCCACTTTGATTGTCACACTCATTAATTTCCTAGTTCAACCACTATAACTTTCTTATTTTCTTATTTTCTTATTTTGACATGTAGTTCTGGAAACATGTGTCTAATGATATAATCATTTTCAATCTATGGGTTATCCCAAAATGATATGTTTTTCCTTTTCCAATACGAGGATTGATTTTCTAAATGTCTCACATGATTGTTTTGCCACATCCGCATTTTATTTATTTATTTTATCTTTATTACTATAAATTATTTTATGAATTTATTTTTAAAAATTTATAATTATATTTTAAAATTGTAATTGATTTTTTATAATAAAATTATACTTATTTTATTAATATCGGTTAATTTATTATTTTATTCTTTAAATTGTATAATTATTTTTTAAAATTTAATTAAGTACCTAAAATAAAATTATAAAAATTATTTATTTTCTATATTATTTCTTTTAATGATTATGATGAAATCCACACATGTGAGTATTTCTAAAAACTAATTAGGGCATGCAGCTTGTTCTCCATAAGAGATAATATATATCTTTCTGCCAATTTCGACAACTTTATGGTTTAGTCATGTGTTCTCCATCTATTTACCACGTTTTTTTGAAAGAACTTTGTATCACATTGCAAATTTAAAAATTTCAAAAATGAAATTAGGTGGAAGTTAACAAAAATACTTATTTAAGTAAAATAACTTTCTGTCTAATTTATTTACACTTTTATCCCACTTTTAATATAGGGAGAAAAAAATGTTTGGAAATTAGCATTATTACTTATTGGTGTACAACTAATATTTTATTTTATGAATTGCTTTATTTTTGGGTAGAATGTTGACCGAGCAGGAGACTTTATTACACGTGCTGAGTCCAATATTCCTTACTGTCCATTATTCCTAAGATTAAGAATCACAGAATCCATTTTTGTTTTCTTTTATTTATTAAAGCTTCTACTATTGTATTTTAAATAGTTTCTAAGCCAAATTTTTAAATAACAGTAAATAAAAATAATATTAAATAATGTATAAACTGAATTTTAAAATATTAATAACAGTAAATAAAATAACTTTTCTGGGATGCGGATTTGGGAGGAACAATAATTTAAGCGACAAATCTATAACTTTTCTGTTATAAATAATATTTATAATATAAATACTCCAAATACTCTGTTTATAGATATATAATATAAGTTTGCTAATAGAAAAAAACTTGAGACACTGCCAAACAAATACTTCTTTAAAGGATTATCTTTCTTTATCTTCTCTTTATATCTGGTGGTCAACACTCAAGTTTTTGATAGTATGTTTGAATAAGATACCTTTAAAGAATAATTAATTTATTTGGTAAATTTATTTTTTTCAAAAGAAAATAGTTGTTTGGATGAAAAAATTTTAAATTTTTTTAAGAATTTTAATAGAATGTATTTCAAATAAAAAAAATATAATTAAAAATTTATTAAAGGAAATTAAAATTCTACAACTATGCACTTCCTCTTAATACAAATTATCTACTACACAAAACATATTTCAATAATTAAATTTAATTATTATTTTTCATAAATTTTAATTTTGAAATACATGGTTTTGGAATAAAATTTAATTTAAAAGAATTCAATTTCTTTGCCCAAAATTTTAAATAAACTATTTAAAGAATAAATAATTTAAATTTAAATATTACAAAGTTATTTAAATTTATTGAAATCTCTCATAAAAAAACATTGTAATTATGGGATAAAATAACAAAAGTAACCACAGTTTTCCTTAAAACAATTGAAGTTTAAACTTGTTTACAAAAATAGGTAGTGGATACTTAAGTTATTGTGAACTCTATTATACCA